AGATTAAAAATAAACCTAAGGGGTAACTGGCCAAGATGGCATACAAGATAGACGCTGTGCTTGCCTCCTCTCTCAATCACACCAAAACTACATCAAAATTTTGGAGCAACCATATGGGGAGGTCTGGTTGAACAGAAGTCTTATAACTGGGGACATACAGAAGAAGAGGCAAGTCGGAGGGGCAGAGACGCGAAATGGCCAGTCTCACAACAGCGTTTGATGGTCAAGAATTTGGAGGGTTATCTTGGCTGCAGAGCCCCGTACCCCTGGCTCCAGCAGAGTGAGGGGTCCTGGCCCCACAATGGGATCCCCAAGGTTCCAGTGCCGGGAAGAGAGAAGTCCCCACAAATTCTGACTATGAAAACCAGTGGAGACTGTGGCTGAGTGAGGCAGAGGGCTGTGAGAGTTGCAGACATTCCTCTTAAACGGCCCACGCCCTGACCTACTGCTGATGGCCTTGCTCGCTCTGAGCCCGAGGAGCGACAGGGATGTACAGGGAGACACTAAGCTGTGGGGCCTCTGGACGATGGCTGGAGGGGTGGCTTTCTCCCTGGCAGTATCTACTTTCCTTGGTTGAGCCCTCCCCTTTCTCAGCATGCAGACGCAGGCAGCTGCCATATCTGAGTCTCTACCAACCTGGGCAACACAGGTCGCTCTGCCCAGAGGATTCCCTGAGACTCTGTCTCTCCCAACTTGCAGGCCTACCCAAGATGCCTCCAGTTGTTTATTCCAATCAAATGTCCTGGCTCGGCACATGCTGAGGACTTTACTAAAATCTCTCAAAGGCTCACAAAACCCAAAGAAGCAACCTCTGGCTTCAGCGTGCCCCGTACCTCTTGCTGAGCAGCCCCAAGCCCACCACTAGTGGTAGCCAGTCTCAGTTTTTGGCTTGGCCTCTTGAGGCAACTATAAGCCCAACATAGGTGGCAGCCAACTGCAAATTGCTTCATGACTTTGACCAGGTGGCCCCAGAGGTGCACAGGCTGCAGATGAACTTGGCTTGCAGTTGGGGCCCCTCCCAGGAGGCTCTTGGGCTGGCACACCCAGTGGCCTGCTTCGCTTAGCGACAGAGTGAGAGCACCACCCAGGGCTGCATCTGAGGAGAATACACCCGAGGGCAGACTGGGCAGGCACCAGAGCCCTGCTAAAGTGGATCCTATTCCATAGGGTCAACCTGTCACTGGCCAACCCTCACAACCAATAAGCCTAAGGCTCAATCCCTCTCATCGAAGTGCAAACAGTAACCAAGGCTCAACTATAATAGGAAGGTACGCACAAGTCACACAAGGGACACACCTTGAGTACCTTGCTCAGGCGACCAGGAAGACTGTGCCACTGGGCCTCATCGAACACCTACTATATAAAACCACTCTACTAAGATTGGGAGACTTAGGAATTCTACCTAATACATAGAAACAAACACAAGGAGGCAGCCAAAATTGAAAGACAAAGGAACATGTCCCACATGAAAGAACAGAACAAAGCTCCAGAAAAAGAACTAAACAAAGTGGAAACAAACAATCTACCAGATACAGAGTTCAAAACACTGGTAATAAGGATGTCGATGAAGTTAGAGGAAGAGTAGATGATCTCAGTGAGAATTTTAACAGAGAGAGAAAACATAAAAATGGAGATGGGAAACATGAAAGGGAACCAGTCAGAAATGAAAACTACAATATCTGAGATGAAGAGAGCATTAGAGGGAATTAACAGATTGGATGAAATGAAGGATCAAATCAGCAATTTAGAGGATGGGCTACTGAAGGACACCCAATCAGAACAGAAACAAGAAAAAAGAATCCAAAAACATGAGGATAATTTAAGGGGCCTCTGGGATGATATCAAGCATTACAACATTCAAATCCTTGGGGTGCCAGAAGGAGAAGAGAGAGAACAAAATTTGAAAACTTATTTCAAAAAAATAATGACTGAAAACTTCCCTAACCTGGTAAAGGAAATAGACATACGAGTCCAGGAAGCATAGAGAGTCCCAAACAAGATGAACCCAAAGAGGCCCACACCAAGACACATCATAATTAAAACGCCAAAGTTTAAATATAAAGAGAGGATATTAAAAACATCAGAGAAAAGCAATTAGTTACCTACAAGGGAGCTCCCATGAGACTTTTGGCCAATTTTTCAACAGAAACTTTGCAGGCCAGAAGGGACTGGCACAAAATCTTCAAAGTGATGAAAAGCCAGGATCTACAACCAAGATTACTCTACCCGACACGACTATCATTTAGAATCGAAGGACAGATAAAGAACTTCCCAGACATGAAAAAACTAAAGGAGCTAATCACTACCAAGTTGGTATTACAAGAAATGTTGGAGAGACTTCTTCAAGAAGAAAAATAATATGTATGAAATAAGTCACAGGGATGTAATGTACAGCATAGGGAATAGAGTCAACATAACTACAGTGACAGGTGGTTACTAGACTTATTGTGGTGACAACTTTGTAAGGTATGTAAATGTCGAATCCCTATGTTGTACACCTGAAACCGGTATACTATTTTATGTCAACTACAATTAAAACAAACAAACAAACAAAAATAAACTTAAGAAATTGGAAATAGCCCTGGTTGATTGAAGTCAGACCCTATTATGCCTTATAAAATAATGAAAAATAAAAGGAAGACATAGCTTGCATTTTAAGAGAAAAGAAAAACAATAAGAAGTATAAAAGTTGAAAAAAGGAAAAAAGAATAAAAAGTATTATTTAAAACACCAAATGTAAATGATATGATGATGATATCGACCGGCACGGGGTCAAAAATGGAATCCGACAAGAGAGACAGGAAGACAGGTGCCACAAAAGTTGTTGAAATCAATAGGCAAGTTATAGTAAGTGTAAACAAAATCAATGGTGCTCCTATTCATACAATAGCAAAATTCAAAAAACAAAATAATGGGACAAATGCTTTACGTACATTGAAAAACATTCACCTCTAGTTTTTGACTCTTTGCATATGCAAAAATGAGCAAAATATATAGGCACTGGAGAACTTAGCAAAAAAGAAATATTATTTTGTCTATGGCCATGCTATCCTGAACAAGCTCGATCCTGTCTAATCTTGGAAGCTAAGCAGGGTCGAGCCTGGTTAGTACTTGGATGGGAGACCACCTAGAAAGACCAGGTGCTGTAGGCGTAAAACAAAAAAAAAAAAAAACACAAAAAACCAAGGGATTGTAAGCTGACAAGGTCCTTGTAATCTGTGAGGTCAACCAAGGGTTGCCTTGCCAAAAAAAAAAAAAGTGTGTGTGTGTGTGTGTGTGTGTGTGTGTATGTATATCCATATATATATAATTTAATCTTGTGTCCTAAAAACAGGGAACACAATTTTTTTTCTAATATTCTGGAACTGTATATCAATATGGAACAGTATAACTTCAGTCATTAAAGAAGTCTCGCAAAGTTAACAATTGGTAGAAGCTGAACAGGCTTATGTAAAAAAAAAAACACTGAAATTTTTATAAAACAAAACTAAAATCACTGTTGGGTGAAAGATGAAATGGAACTTGAGGTTAGAGGATATTTTGAAAAAGAAGAAGGAAAAAATAATAATGAGATGAGCTAGAGAATGGAATAAGAATGGAAAAATAAGAATGGAATGGTTGAATATTAGAAAACCTCTTTGTATAATTTATCACAACAATAAACAAAAGCAGAAAAAGTATATAATTGTATCCATAAATAATTTTAAAAGGGAATTTGAAAACACCTTAGGAGCTATTTTCAGAAACACTATATGATATAGATGGAAGCTAACACAATATAGTCTCCAAAAGTAGTAAATACTACAGTAAACATTGAAATGACAAGGTCATGAAAATTAAAAAAAAAAAACAAAAAAAACAGTGATGCCTACCATTACTACTATACATATGTTTTGGCTAATACAATAGGATAAGAAAATGAAGTCATTTGTATATTACTAAAATAAGATACATTATATGTTTTATGATTATACACAGAGAAACCCTACAGACCTAACTAAAATCTCTAGAAACTAGAAAAGAATTTGCCAAGGAACATGAATAAAAACATAAGTATATAAAACTTACAGATTTTATTTGCAATAATATATATTGAAAAGAAATAATATTTCAAACATAATAAGAAATATACATGCATGTATTTATAAACAACTGAAAAGTATGAACCTATATGAAGGAAACTATAACGTCTTATTAAAGAAAATTAAACAAAACCTAAGTAAATGAGACGTGGAAAGTGTCCCCGATTAGAAAAACATAGCAATTTTAAAATGTCAGTCCTTCTGAAATTATTGTAAAACTGTGGTGTACTTGCAATTTATGATCACATTGAAACTGGAAAGTAATTTAAAAATTTGTAGGACAAAACAAATATCTGAGTCAAGCAAAGCGTAAAAGAAAGTGGGTGGAGGTTGAAAAAGATAGAATTTCTAGATGTTTTCTTCTCAGAGGTATCGCCCATTTCAGAACAAAACATCAAAGCAAAATAAAAATACTCAGCCTGCCCCTGTCTTTGGCATCTTAGTCCTTTCTCTTCCTCTTACTCCCTTTATCAAGATCACTGGAGGAAGGACCCAGGCCGCAGCCGGAAATGGGAACAGGCCCAGAGAGACAGCACAGTACTCAGTGTTTACACATAAGTCTGTTGTTTATGCTGAATTTTATATTTGCTAAAGTACTTTTAAAATGACCTAGGTGAAGGTAGAGGAGGAAATCGCTGCCTCAAAGCCTCAGAAGGGACAGCCGACTCCAGATGGGCCCGCGAGCCGAGCAGCAGCGTCAAACAAGAGTCCTGTGGGCTGTGACAAGCTGGACTCTCACGCGCAGCTGTCCTGCTGCAGCTTAAACCCGATTCCCTCATTACATAGTCCTGCATTTCATTACCCTGCCTGTGAGTGTGCTTGTAAAGCAGGTCTAAGGAAAAGGTTTAGATGAGTGTCTGACGACAGACACTAAACTGCAACGTGGCCAGAGAGAAAGTTACAGGGAGATAGACTGACCTGGCGATGAGGTTGCCACCTCCACAGGCCATCTTTCGGTCCCGGGACCTGCCTGGCTTCCGATACCTCCGGTCCCCCTCTCCCAACCTGGGTCCAATGTGGCTGTCCAGCCCTGAGCAGGAAGTCTGTGAACCAACCCCCTCTGGAGGGCTCCACCCAAATGGAGAAAAGAGAAGTGAAAGCAATTTCCTCTGTGTTGTCAGACGCGGTCTCCCTCCTCCTGCAGCTCCGTGGGGGATCTGAGCCTTCCTGACGTGTGGCAGCAGGAGTGGAGGACAAGGCCTGGCAGTCACAGCTCGGAGGCCAGGGGAGGAGTCTCCAGAGCGGGGAGCAGGGCCAGCTCCCAGGAGTCCCCTTGTTTGTGCAAAGACACCGAAAACATCTGTGGGAACCTCGCTGCCACAACCTTCTAAGAGCAAGGCGGAGTTTTCGGAGTTTGCTCTCCATGTTCAGAAACAGGGCTAGAGAAGCACTTACTCTAGAGTCATGCTGTCCACATTTTTCCCCTTGAATCCAACTTCCTCTGGATGTGAGTAGGGGTTCTCATCCAGTTACATTTACGGTACAGGGGAAGGTTCTACCCTCTCTCCACTTCTGATCTTTCTTGCCCAAAGGAGTGAACGTCAGTCTCATTGGGACAGATTCCAGGACTCCGATGAGGACGACTTTACCAGTGGGCAGTGTCCGTGTGTACCACGTGCTGCACACACGGGGCCCTCTCCCTTCCTCTCCCTCCTCCCCTCACTTGGGGTAGGAAAGACTAGTACGCTGAGCCTCTGCTGGGCACGGCTGTCCTCTGCTCCTGGCCTCCATGGGACATGGGGCCCAGACAAGTTCTGACACAGATGACGTTGGCCTTTTCTAGTGTCCACTCTCTCTCCTTCTCTGTCCCTGAGCAGTAGGCAGACCAGGTAGGACACCGTCATGCTGGGTGTCGGCATAAATATGCCTATGGGAGGTGGGTGTGTGTAACTGATTGGAGCAGCCTGAGGCCTTCTGGCTAAGCCCAATCTACGATTTGGACTTAGGGATCCTTTTGGGTCACACATGTAAGCCACATCCCCTGATCCAGCTTTTATCAGGAAGAAAGCTAGTATTTTGAACTCCATCTGTCTCATCTTTTTGTCTGTCATTTTGGAACTCAGGTTGGGAGACTTATGGAGTATTTACAGAATTGGGGGTTCCTCTTTGTAACTTTCTTTTATGGGAGGATTTTTCCCTCGCTCCCCAGAAAGCATAATTGCCTTAGCTTATTTGTCTCTGCTGATCAGGAAGAAAATGGGCTTCCTCCCAGAATCTGGCCCACCCCATGCAAGTCTGTGGCTGCCCTCACAACCAGACAATAACAAGCAGGAAATAGCTCGTGCTAGCTGCTTCTGAGTTCTGATTTCCCTCCAGTGTTGCACAGCTTTTGTTTGTTACAAAAGTCTCAGGCGTTGTTCTCTGATTTGCCCAGTTTCTAGCTGTTTTCTGCAAGAAGCCAGTTTGTTCGGAGCTCAGTCCTACAGATCGAAAGCAGAGCTTTTCGTCCTCACTCGCGAGCAGCAGACCAGAGCTGCCCACTCCCAGGCCCAGCCCTGCTCCTGGAGACCCCAGTGCCCCTGAGCCCCCTGCCTACCCAAGAGGGAGAGACGCAGTGTGCAGGGCATCGGGGGCTCACCTTTGTTAGGACATACACAAGGCAGACTGTATACACTTGGTACTTCTGTGCTCACGGGAGCACAGACACATGTCTAGAGTAGACTTGTTTCATAAAATAAGAAAACAAATAATATACCTGGAGAAAAGATGTGAATTACTATGGAATTTCAGCTGGAGTTTAAAAACCACCTATATAGATGAGACATATAAGTTGTTGCCGAAAAACCTAAGAATATTTCTTTGTTAAAGGAGGAGGTCGAGGTATGGTTGTTGAATCTGTTTTTTTGTTTCAAGGACTTATTTACACAGTCATCTGTTTCCAAGGGATTCAGGCCACAGCTTTCCCTCTGCCTCTTTCCTGTTCTAAATTTGCTGTGTGTGTAACTAAGAAGAGCACCTGACTGCATATAATAGATAGTTCAGGTCATGTTTTTACGATGGTAATTAGCATCCTTTTGTGTTAGCTTGAAGAAGTCCCTTTAGCATTTCTTATCAGGCAATTCTAGTAATGATGAGCTTCCTCAGCTTCTGTTTGTTTGAAAGGGTCTATTTCTCCTTTAATTCTGTAGGACAGCTTGGTTGAGTACTAATCTTGGTTAACAGGTATTTTCTTTCAATGTTTTGAATATGTCTTCCCACTCTCTCTTGCCCTTCCATGGGCCTGTTCAGAAATTCACGGACAGTTTTATGGGGGCTTTCTTGGATGTGACAAGTTACTTTTCTCTTGCTGCTTTCAATATTCTGTCTTTGTCTTTGACTTTGACAAGTTAGTTATAAAGAGTGTTGGTGTAGCCCTTTTCAGATTCAACCTTTTAGGTCCTTTGGGCTGTAAATATATGGATGCCCCTTTCTCTCCCCAAATTCTGGAGTTTTCAATCATTGTTGTTTTAAATAGACTTTGTGTCCTTTCTTTTTCTTTTCTCCTTCTAGGAGTCTTATAATGCCTATGTTTCTTCTCGGTAATGTCTCCTAAGTCCTCCAGGAATTCTTCACTCTTTTCCATTCTTCTTTTGCTCCTCTGACTGGATAATTTCAAATAACCTATTTTCTAGTTCACTGATTTTTTTTCTGCTTTATTGAGCCTGATGTTGAAGCTCTGTGTTGAATTCTTCAGTCCAGTCATTATATTCTTCAGTTCTAGGATTTCTGTTTGTCTATCTTTTTGATGATTCATTTTTCTTTGTTAAACTTCTCATTTTGTTCATGCATTGTTTTCCTCATTTAATTGAGTTGTCTGTCTGTGTGTTCTTATAGTTTGCTTAACCTCTTTAAGAGGATTATCCTAAATTTGTCAGACAGTTTATAGATCTCTATTTCTTTAGGGGCAATTATTAGTTTTTTAGTTTCCTTAGGTGGTGTCATGTTCTCCTTATTCTTCATGACTCTTAGTTTCTTTTGTTGGTACTAGTGCATTTGAGTAAACGGTCTCCTCTTCCAGAAGTTACAGGTTAGTCTAAGCAGGAAATGACCTTCATTGGTCAGCTCTGCTTTGGGTACTGAATGGAACCGCTGGTAGTAGCATCCATGCAGGAGGGGAATGTTATCAGGGTCTCGGGTGGGTGAGGCCACTGCTGTGCTCTGAAGTTGAGGGGTGGATGCTGGCTGAGCTTTGTGGTTGGTTGGGCCACCCGAATGGGCAGAGCTGCCAGCACTACAATTAGATGGGGCCACTTGCTTGGCTCTGCAATCACCTCTGGTCTTGCGAGTTTCCTGGGGTAGTGCCAGTGGTTGGATGCTGTGATTGGGCAATGTTACAGGGTAG